ACTATCCAGTGAGACCCTGTCTCAAAAAAATTTTTTTTGGATTCCCTATTTTTAATGTTCATACAGAGATTTCTTTACCTGAAATACCGAATAGTTTCTTTGGTGTGAAAAACTATAATAGTACACAGGATCCTAATGAGACAATTAATAATGTGAAATAGGAAGTAAAGGGCTAAAGGTGTAGGGAAAGTGGGAAGGGTAGGGGAAAGGTAATAAGGGAGAGGAAAAAAATATGAGAAACTGAAAAAATGGAAATAAAGTGTTTGTAAATGGGGAGGGGAGGAGGGGGTGAAGGGAGGGCAGGGACAAGGGGAAAAAATGAGAACCAAGACCTATTATGTAAAGGTACAGAATCCCAATGATGAATGTAACTGTATTGTATACCTAGATTGTACCAATAAACTCAATAAAAAGAAAAAAAAAATTTTTTTAAACACTCATCTATTTCCAAATGCCCCAGGAAGTGGTACTTTCTTCAGTTTTACACAATAGTTTCTGGTTCAGGTTCAAATTAAGGGAGAAAAAAGGCAAGGAGACCACTGGAAATGTATCGTGGGGGCCGGGGATTTAGCTCAGTGGCACCACCACCTGTCTCAGAAGCTCAAGGTCCTGCATTCGATCCTGAATAGTACCCCCAAAAAATAAATAAAACACTGTGGGCCGGGGATTTACCTCAGTGGTTCCACCACCTGCCTCACAAGTGCAAGGGCCTGAGTTTGATCCCCAGCGCAAAAAAAAAAAAGAAAGAAAGAAATGTATCGTGGGCTGGTAGTGTAGCTTAGTAACGACAACACCTGCCCAACATGAAGGCCTGGGTTCAACTGCTGGTCCTGCCCCCTCCAAAGTATATTTATGATAATTTAGAGAGGACGTAATGATTATAGTGTGAATTAGGGCGATGGAGGAAAGGAAGGTATGAAAGCGCGAGAACAGAATCAACAGGATTTAGCTCTTGTTAAATAGGTGGAAGAAGAAGTGAACCCAAGATTTCAAGCCGGTAATTTCAAACCTGTATGGAGAATAACAATCACACTAACTAAGGAGAAAACTTAGGGAAACTACTTTTTTTTTTTTTCCTCAGTACCAGGGACTGAACTCAGGACTTTGCGCTTGCAAGGCAGGCGCAGTAGCACTGAGCTACATCCCTGACCCTAGGGGAACTACTGAATTCACTTTTAGCTGACTGGATATGAAACATCTAGTGTCTCTACGACAACATAAGCAAACAATCAGAAATGTGGATCTGCTGCTCAGCATGAATGAGGGATAAGAAAGAAAACTGAAGCCAGATGAGGTGACACCTGTCTACAGTCCCAGCACAAGGAAGCTGAGACAGGAGGATCTCAAATTTAAGAATAGGTTGGGCAACTTAGTGAGTCCCCGTCTCAAAATAAAATATTTAAACTAAGGTTGAAGGTGTAGCCTAGTGTGAAGGACTTGTGTTCAATTCCCAGTAATGAAAAAATAGATTAAAGGAGAAATTCAAAGCAGAAAGAGCCAAGGACCAAGAAAGACGTTAAGTAAGTTCTTTGTTTTCGATCTATTTCCAAAACCACCCGTGTCTCTGTAGCAGTCCTCTTCAGTGTGCCCACTAGCTAGACAGTATCCAGACACAGAAGAAAAGAGGAGACAGATCAAAAGGGACAATGAGACACACACTTCACAAAAAATCATCTATGGCACCTTCTCCTGGATTTCAAATGAGGACTGAAAGTGTTTAAAATATGCAACTGCATCAGCCTCTCAACTCCACAGGTTGCTCACGGCACTGTGTTCCTTTCCACTGCTCCTCCAAGTAAGTGTCTCCCTTTTGTCATCACTTATTTGCCAAAGCTACTTAACTGAACATCGCTTTTCCTTTCTCATAAGAAAGCTATTGCTGAACCAATTATCCATCCTTGAATATTTCTTCACATGATTTTGTTTTTTTGGCTTTTTTGGGGGGGGCACCACGGATTGGTGCGGCACCACTGAGCTAAGTCCCAAGCCCAAGACGATTTCTATCTTACCCAGTGTTATGGTTTGAATATGGATAGTATCATCCCCCAAAGGTCCCCACGATAGCATACTGGAAGGTGGTGTTGTCCTTTAAAAGTGAGAAGTCTTTGGGTAATTGGCTGCATGCCCTTGAAAAGCACTGTGGGACTCCTCTGTCTCTGCTTCCTGGTTCTTTCACTGTCATGTACTCCATTTAAAACAAACACACAAGCCAGGCATGATGGTACAGACCTATAATCCCAGCACTCAGGAGGCTAAGACAGGAGGATCACTGTGAGTTGGAGGCCAGCCTGAACTGCACAGTGAGATCTTGTCTCACAAGAACAAAAACAAGGGCTGGGGATTTAACTCAGTGGTTCCACCACCTGCCTCACAAGCACAAGGTCCTGAGTTCAATCCCTGGTAGGAAAAAAAAGAACAAAAAATAATACAAAAAAATCCAAACACATAAAGCCAGTCTTGACCTCAGAGAGCCCCTGGAAGGGCTCATAATGGACCCCCAACTCGTAGGTTAGGAATCACATTGAGGCCCACTGCTCCAGGTGGTTTACAACAGCACAAGTATAAATAGCTCTTGAAAGAAATAAAATCACAGTGGTTTGGCCTGTTCCTCTGACCTACTTAGAGCCAAATGTTTACTGAACACTCTGGATGTAAGAGTATATAATAAAGGATCTGGGACAGCCAGCTGCTGAGATGGTCCCCAGTGATCCTCTCCTTCTGGTCTTTATACCTTGGTCAGCCATGTGTGACCAAGAGAGCAGAACGGAAGAGGTGTACGCACTCCTGAGACCCTTGATGTCCATCCTGGGGTCTGTCTCAGGTCATCTGTCTGTGGGAAGCCACTGCCAGTTTAGAGCAGCTCTGTGTAGAGGTCCATGTCGTAAGGAACTAAGTAAGGCTTCCGGGTGACAGTTACTTCAGAAAGCTTGGAAGCACTTCCCAGCCCTCATCCATAACCCTGGATGACGGACTGGCAGCAACCTCATGAGTAATCCCGAACCAGAACTTCGCACACCAGCCATTCCCAAGTTACTGGCCCTCAGGAATGAAATAAGAAATACTGTTTAAGGGCCGGGGATTTAGCTGAGTGGTGCCACCGCCTGCCTTGCAAGCGCAAGGTCTGAGTTTGATTCCCAGTACCAAAAAGAAAAAGAAAAAGGAAAAAAAAAAAAAACTGTTTAAACTGCTAAATTTGGATCAGTGCGGTGACCCACACCTGTAATTCCAGCACTTGGGAGGCTGACACAGGAAGACTGCTATGAGTTCAAGGTCAGCCTGGGCTGCACAGTGAGTTCAAGGCCAGGCCAAACAACATAGCAAGACCCAGTCTCAAAAAAATAAAATAAAATAAACTGCTAAATTTGGGGATAATTTTTTACACAGCATGGATAATCAATACATAGTCCTTCCCACCTGAGTTCAAAATATAGTTTTTTTTTTTTGTAGACACATACATATAAACTAACAATGAAAGACAATGTAAGTTCAGTATCAATTAGTATTTCAGAAAATAATGCCTATGCAAGCTCAGAATAAGAATTTTTTTTAATACGAGCTGGAGAAAAAAATTTCCTGAAGGAGTCAGAACTGTAAGTCTTCAAGGAGGCAGGATTGAGCTAAGTAGCTGGAATGACTGTGGGAAGTAAAGAAATCAAGTATGGTAAAAGTTAAGAAGCTTGTGGAAGAGGAGAGCTCTTGGGAAGACTTGGGAGATGGAACAGTAACTTTCAGCATTTGTCCAAGTAAGGGATGAGGGCGGGGGATTTATTGGTTCCACCACCTGCCTTGCAGTGCAAGGACCTGAGTTCAATCCCCGGTACCAAAAAAAAAAAGACGATGAAGTTTAGGTTTTAGATGACGAACAGGCACTGAGGGTTTCTGAACAGGAAGCAACACAACGAGAGCAGCAAGCACAAGAGGCACCTCACAAAGCCACCTCATCCTCCGTCCCCACCAGCCCTTCCTGCCTGTCCTCACCAACTTTCTTTATGTGCAGTCACTAAAAATGAAACCTTCACTAGTCTCCTGACACCACCTCTCGGTCTCACTTTTGACAGAAGGATGTGAATCACTAATGGAATAAGAGCATCTATAAAAATCAAGTGGAAAGAGAAATGATTCTAGAACACTTGCAAAAACTCTAAGTCACATCTATCTGACAGAATATTTTATTCATAGTTTAACTATTCACATTTGTATTTTATAACCAATATCCTTCACATTCAAAAAATTTATGTGACTCCAGTTAAATTCCACATTTGTTGAGCACAAAATACTATGTTAAAAGAGTCATCTTGAGACAATGCTAATTTTTAGTTATTCTATTGGCAGGCTTCAGAAATACACTCATGCATACTTTTCTTTTTTTCTCCCCTCATATGTCAAATGTTTAAAATTCTAAGCATGAGCCAGGTGTGGTGACACATGCCTGGAATGCTAGTACTTTCAGAGGCTGAGGCAGGAGGATCACGAGTTCGAGGCCAGCCTAGGCTACATAGTGAGTTCAAGGCCAGCGTGGACTGCACAGTGAGATCCTGTCTCAAAAAACAAACAAACAAAAAATCCCCAAAAAACTAGAATTCTAAGCATAACATTTTAATTTCCTTAGAGTAGGAAAGAAAAAACAATGAAAAACCAGAAAATTACTAACAAAGCACTTATAATTTATTTATCTAATGAGCTGGGGTTGAACCTAGGGCCGGTAAGGTGAGTACTCTACTGAGTTATAACCCCGGTCCTCACTTTTTTTTTTTTTTTGTACTGGGGATTGAACTTGGGTCATTGCGCTTATAAGGCAGGTGGTGGAACCACTGAGCTAAATCCCCAGCCCCTTACATATTTTTTAAACTCAGACTTTCCTAACTGTTGCTCTAAATTTAATATAAACTCTTGTTCTACATTCTTTTCACTAAAACAGTAGAGGAAATACACACATCCGAAACAGTTTCTGGAAGCATGGTGTCAGTGGGCCGAGACCCACACTCACGGTGGACACTCACTGTGTGAGAACCGCTGAGTGATCGGGGTCCCAGGGTACGGGTAAGTGCGGCTCTCCCACTGAATGTTTCCTTCCTGGACAGCCTTCATGAAGCCATGGTAACACTGGTGGGCTACCCCTAAAGACAAAAGAGCAAGAACCTCAGCCTGGACACTTGACCTGCAGATAGAATCCTCATTTTACAACTAAAAATGGGGTTAAATACTACACATTCAAGCTGTTCATAAAACCAACCAAGATAAGAAGCAGCAGAGAATGTGTTGTCTTGTACTATGTTGTATAGCCATAATATATTTAAAGAAGAGAAAAGGAAATTTAGAATCTAAAAATATCATTCAACAAAACCTGAAGTAAATTGCCATAATCCCAGCACTCAGGAGGCTGAGGCAGGAGGATCACTGCGAGTTTGAGACCAGCCTGGGCTACACAGTGAGTTCTAGGTCAGTCTCAACTACATAGTGAGACCCTGTCCCAAAAAAACCAAACAAAAAAAAACCCTGCGGTAACACTCTTCCCTTTCCACAGTACCTTTGATTAGTCGATACCACTGTTTACAGACCAGGGCTGCAGTCTTGTGCTCCTGATAGGGCGAGAGGAAGGACAGGATGTACTCCAAAACCTCTTCCGGCAGCTCCGACATGGACCTGTCATGTCGAGGCTCCTCGGCCTCCAGGCCTGGGTGGGCGTGTTCGTCTTGCTCCATTGTCCCTTCCGGTGCAGTTTCCTCTTGGTCCACAGCCATGAAACTGTCATCTTCACTGTCCGAAGAGCTGGCCATGACATTCCACTCCAAAGCTGTAGCCGGCAAGAAACAAACATCAGCACACAGCCGTCGACTCAGAAACAACTCAAACTCACTCCGAGCCGCTCGGGATTTCCTTTCTGCCCTCAGCATGAAATCTTTTCTCAGCACTTTTCCACACGGGTTGTGAGCCATTTCAACTTGACAGGTGGAGCTCATATACCAAGCCCATCCACAAAGTCTTCTGATTACATATTTTTCTCTCCAGAAAACGAAACGGCAGCTGAGTCCTAGCATAACCTTAACAATGGAAATCTTGTTCTACAATAATTCCTCTACCTCAAAATATCTGTCTGGCAGATGGCAATGGGAATAGCAAGTAAGCTCCCTTGGCTACTAACAATGATCAACCTCAACCTTAGAAGAAAAACTAACTCTGGGCCCTACAAACAGTACAAACATTCTGAGAATGTGAATTAAGAAATAAGAATTTGGGGCTGGGCATGGCATCACACACTTGTAATCCCAGCAATTGGGAGGCTGAGGCACAAGGATCACTGTGAGTTCCAGGCCAGCCTGGGCAACCTAATGAGTTCAAAGCCAGACTGAACTACAAAATTAAAGTGAGGGCTGGGGATTTAGCTCAGTGGTGCGGTGCCTGCCTTGTAAGTGCAAGGTCCTGAGTTTGATCCCTGGTACTAAAAAAAAAAAAAAAAAAAAAAAAAAAAA